GCCCTCAGGGTCCTCGGCCAGGCCCAAGGGATCGAAGCTGCCACCAGGGTAGAGTGGGTCGGTCACCTCACCTAAGGGACCGCCGGCCACACGTTAGCCCTCGACCGCACCCATGAGGATCACTTGAGTGGCCCAGATAGCCAAGATGCTCTGAGCATGCACCAGGCTCGGGTTCCTCAAGTAGTCAAGTCCACCCTAGCTGAAGATTTGAGCACCGGCCTTGAACCACACGGCCTCACCGAACTTGACACCATTGCAAGAGAGTGCTTTGGGAACATGCATCCCAAAGCACCGGGCATGGCCCACCTGCCGTGGATAACCTCAAGCTTTCTGTTCTTGGCAAAGGTCTCGGGGTCGGCCGGCAGTGTCCCACCCGTAGTCACCGGGGAACTCCCCTGTGAGGTAGGATGGGGCCTCCCCAGATAACGGGCCGAGATACTTGATTCTGTCGGGGCCGTACCATGGACTTCCAGATACTGGGGCCTTGCTAGCAGTCTTCCTCATGCTCACTCTTCCATCGCCGCCACGGACACCGACTCCGAACTCGGATTGGGTGCTCACTGGCACCGCCTTGACATCGTTGCCATGGCGTTGCCTGAACAAAAGGATGTAGAGGGTCGGCAAAGTTGGGAAGTGAAGTGAAGTGAAGAGTTGGTGTTGTGGGTGGTGTGTTTCTATAGGTGGTGGTGGTGGAGGAGAGGCTCTCTATGCCCTTCTATCCATTGCAAATGGTGTTTCATGGAGTGATGAGTTGTACAGTTCTTGAAAACTAACTTATATTTTTCTTTTCTTCTCTCTCTGTTTTTATTTTCTGTGGCTCGAACTGAAATTCATATCTCTCTTTGTTGTTTCTTCTTTTATCGTGGCTCCATGTGAACTTCAAGTATCGTGATTGGAGCGTGCATCAAGAGAACAAGATTGAACCATATGTTTTGAAGTCCATTTGTGTGCCCATGGGCCAAAACCTTTTTAACAAATTACATTAGTGAAAATGAGTGGTTTATATCTAATGAATATTTGAATCCTCGTTTGGGAAAAGAGCCCCCGCTTAATTGGTTAGCCAAACCCTTTTTAACAGATAACTTTAGTGAAAATGAGTGGTTTATTTCGAATGAATATTTGAATCCTTGTGTAGGAAAAGAGCCCGGGCTGGTTAGTGCTTGATGATTTACAACGCTACATCCTAGGCTCAATTCTTAGGGTTAGGACTAATGAAAAAAAGAGTAAAGCCTTACCTTGAAACCTTGTCCGTAAAACGCTTTGGCCATAGAAATCTCGGCTCTAATATCAATTTTTACTACCGATTGTAAAGTTTATAGCTAAAAAAATGTTACAGATCTTGCGGATCCATGAATACTTGAATAGTGGTGGTCTACACTCAAGATAATGGGTTAACATACAACATTTTTAGGGTTTGACATCCTAATTTTTTTTTCACAACTATAATGTTCAAGGTCGAGATGTTAGATTTGAAGGTCCTCCAATGCCATAACTGAAATTTTCCATGAGTTTTGAGGTGAGGCCTTATTTATTTTGATAGGGCTGCAGCCTATAAAAATATTTTCCATACTTAAAATAGAAACTATATGAAGGTAAGGGCCAAAATTTTATGGAAGGCCTTTGCGTGTGTCTGAGGATGCACTTATTGCAGTGAGTCCACGCTTCCAAAATCCATTCTGGAGACGGATTTTGGATTGGCAATAATGATGAATATGGAAAAAATGAATTGGCGATCATGATGCATATGGAAACAATGAATTCGAACCTTCAAAGGTCCATTGCGTACCCTTCTAACAGACCCTCTGTTTCAAGTTTTCAAGGGTCAGATCTATATTTTATCTACAGCTCTGAACTCAAGGGTTTGACATGAATATATATGTGATTTGGGGTCTACAGGGTCCTTAAACTCATGAAAACCAGGGGAGAGAGTCGGTGACGAAAACTTTTGAAAAAATTTTAGCCGAAAAGATATTCTACTCGCTCATAAATATACTGTATATTTACTCCCTGGGGTAAAACTTGACCTAGGATTAATTTTAAAATCTATCCATCTTTAGAGGGTGAGATTTAAACGTTAGAAAAATCAAATTACAAACTTTTTTATTTTTAAAATAGTCATTTAGCAATTCTAAGGTTATTGCCAAATTTTCATAATGAAAAAAAATCTCCCAAATAAGTCGTCTGACTAAAGGAGTAGAAGTTAACTATGCTCCTGAGTGAGCATATGTGCTCAATTTTTATTATTCATAAATCAAAATGATACATTCAAATTGTACTGGAAAGTATCATTTTCCATCCTTTCATGAACAAATGAAAGGTGGTAATTCATTCTCTTTAAGAGAAATCCAGGTTGGAAACAGTTTTTTTTTGTAATTCACCTTTTCTATTAGCTAAAAATATTAAGGCAGGCATAATTCTAGGACGAAATAGCCAATTTGCATAGAGATATTAAATATTCTTGTAAAGAGAGAAACTCGTAAGCAGAGCTAATGAATAAGGCTCAACAAAGACCTCAATGCTGGCTAGTACTTGGTACCAAATTTTTTTAGGGAAATTTACGTAAATGTTTGCTTTAGTTTTTGTTATTATCAAAATGTCAAATACTTTCTGTTGTTAGTGATATGTTTATTTTTTGGACTTCATAACAAAATTTTTTTTTTTAAAAAGACAAAACTACAAATTTTAAGTTTTTCAAAAACCAAAATCAAACCAATTTCGGTTGTTTTTAGAATTGAAAATTTTATTCTTCAAGAACCTAAATTTTTTCTCTTTTGTAGGTCCTCTGTGTATTCTCTTTTTATATTACATGGGTAAAAATGATTTTTTTTTAACTCTTTCTCTCTTTCACCCATCGTCTTCTTTTTTGGGTAAGTTTCACCCAACGTATTGAGAGAGGAATTTAGCTTGGTTTGGATATTCTCATAGCTTGAAGAGTTTGAATTAGCAAGAGATCTCTTCTTGAAGGTAGGACATCATATGCTGAATCATCAGCTTTCCATTCTCTTATGATGTAGGGCCCAAACTTGTTGTTCTCTTGATTTTATCAAATAACCATGACTTCATAGAGGTATAGAGAGAATACACTACAAGAGAAGGAAAATGCCACAAACAGGGTAAAGAGAGAATACGCCACAAGATTTATTCTAATATTCTAATCTCATAATCCCTGATATTTTTCTTAAATTTAGGGGCTCAAACCAGCTGTTCCTCCTTGATTTTGTCAATAACCATGACTTTAGAGACGTAGAGAGAGAATATGCCACAAGAGAGAGAAAATGCCACAAGAGAGGTAGAGAGAGAATATGCCACAAGAGAGATAAAACATTTTTCAGTTATTGAAGAACCGAAAATTTAAAATTTTTGGTTTTTCAAAAATTGAAATTGGTCTTATTTACGTTTTTGAAACTAAAAAATAGGCAGTTTTGTATTTTTTAAAAAAATTGTTATGAAGTCTAAAAAACAGATATATCAATAATTACGAAAAATATTTAGTAATAATAGAAACTAAGACAAATACTTATGTAATTTTCCTTTTTTTTTTTATGGAAAAGTACTTAGACGTATTAAGGGGCACAGTAATAACTGTGCAAGACCAAACGTCCATCCATGAAATGGAATGCAACAAAGGTTGTTTCTACCTATAAAAATAAGAAAGTATATAATTTGGTACAAGATGGTCACAATTAATCTTGACCATTGGATGTGAAATTGTGTGGCGGCATTTATTTCATTAACCAAGCTTAAAGTTCAAAATAAATTTTTTTAACTTTATAAAACACCCAAGCTATCATATTTTACTTTTGATACAAAGGCGGTCACAATTATGTACAACGATCCGATGTGAAATTTGATAGCTTTAGTGTGCATAACGTTAAAAAAAATTTCTTTTAAAGTTTGAGCTTGATCAATAAAATAAATGCAGCCACCCAATTTCACATCATGTGGTCAAGATTAATTGTCACCACCTTGTACCAAAGGTAAATGGTTTCATTGTACTATTTTCCATCATGAAATGAGAGACCAAATACATTGAATGGCGATACATAGTATACTATGAGCACGTATATTGTGCTTGCATGGAGCATAGTGTGTATCTACTCCCTTGGTCTGAAGACCTACTTGGGAGATTTTATCAAATTGAATTTTGGAAACTACCAAAGAACTACTATACGATTATTCTCAAAAGACAAAAATAAATAAAATCTATAGTTTTCTTAAATTTTACTCATTGAAAATTGTTCAATCTTGAGACGTTATTACTTTATGTGCATATATGGTCGAATTAGGATTATATTTTTTTAAGTTAATCCATGGGGTGAAGAGGTTCTTAACTAATTGGGGTCGGTTACATCCTAGTCCACCATTATGCTCTATTAAGAACGAATACCCTCAGTGAGACCGTAAATCCCCTTATCTTTTCTCACTACTTTCAGCTATGCCATTTTCGCCATATTCTTTACCTTTTTTGATCTTTCCACTAATATTGTGCCTTATAAACTAAAACCGGTCTCATAGCTGTCTTATAAAACTTGTCCATCATCTACATTGATGTACGTCAATCACATAAAAACGAGTTGCACATATTCAACTTGTCCACCGAGCTCTAACTCTACGTACAATATCTTTCTCGATCTCCTTAAATTAATAATACTGGGGATTTTAGTTGAGAGAGTAAATGGGGTGGAATGTAAGATGAATCGGCATATATCGCCTTTGTCAAATAATACGAAAGTTCATTTTTGTGGTGTTAGGACCATTAGCTTGAGATATTTAACCTCGTATGCAAAAATCTCAACCATTCATCCACTGGTTCCAGCGGCCAGTCCCAACACGTCAAGAGTGAAATATCTCTTAGTGGTGGCGGTGGTGAGCTGATAAATCGGGTAGACACGTGGATGGTATTGGAGAGATCAGGAAAATCTTAACCCAATGAGATGCGAGATTAAGATTTCCTAGGATAAGGAGCCACTCCAGCCTTCAACTATTTAAGCAAAGGCACAGCACCACTCATTCTATACACAGCACAGCACAGCCCAACCCAACCCCTTTCTCTAAGCAACGTTAAGGCTACGACATGGCAACGATGGCTCTCTCCTCCCCAGCATTCGCCGGCAAGGCGGTGCCTGCCAGCACCCAATCTGAATTCGGAATCGGTGTTCGTGGCGACGGAAGAGTGAGCATGAGGAAGAGTACTAGCAGGGCCCCGGTGTCTGGAAGCCCATGGTACGGCCGCGACAGAGTCAAGTACCTCGGCCCGTTCTCCGGGGAGCCCCCGTCATACCTTACTGGGGAGTTCCCCGGTGACTACGGGTGGGATACTGCGGGCCTCTCGGCCGACCCCGAGACCTTCGCCAAGAACAGAGAGCTCGAGGTCATCCACTGCAGGTGGGCCATGCTCGGTGCTTTGGGATGCGTTTTCCCAGAGCTACTCTCTCGCAATGGCGTCAAGTTTGGTGAGGCTGTGTGGTTCAAGGCCGGTGCTCAAATCTTCAGTGAGGGTGGACTCGACTACTTGGGGAACCCGAGCCTGGTGCACGCTCAGAGCATCTTGGCTATCTGGGCCTGTCAAGTGGTCCTCATGGGCGCGGTCGAGGGCTACCGTGTGGCCGGTGGTCCCCTGGGTGAGGTGACTGACCCACTCTACCCCGGTGGCAGCTTCGATCCCTTGGGCCTGGCTGAGGACCCTGAGGCCTTTGCCGAGCTGAAGGTCAAGGAGATCAAGAACGGCCGGCTTGCCATGTTCTCGATGTTCGGGTTCTTTGTTCAGGCCATTGTCACTGGAAAGGGTCCATTGGAGAACCTGGCTGACCACCTTGCAGACCCAGTGAACAACAACGCTTGGGCCTATGCCACCAACTTTGTGCCCGGAAAGTGATTCTTCTTTTCTTTTCTCTTTTTTTTTCTTCGGTGAAAAGGGTTTGTAAGGGTGATGGCGTTGTGGGTCGTGTCGTGATGGTCTTGCATCATTCCACGTAATTACGTAAATTTGGAGGATTCTTGGGAGCTTCTGATGTTTAATCTGGATTTTGATTAATCAAATATTTTCCTTTTTTTCCCATATTTTTCTTAGTCTTCTTTTGGCTGGCTGAATTTGTTGCAAATTCATTGAAAACTTCACCACGATTATATTTTAAAAGATAAGTAATTCTAATTTATGAAGGGATGAATTGAGAGAGCACAGTAGATTTCGGTTGAGACAAAGCACATGGGAAAGGTTTTTTTTCATGGTAGTGACTTGGAAGATTAAAACTGCTCCCATATGAATGTAGGGGCAAGTTTTTATCTGAAAGTAAAAAAAAAATCCTCCATTTGGATACACCTTATCTCATAGTTGTCTTTGGTGCATTCGGAAACAAAATTTATCAGTAAAGGAGTTTTTTTGGTTGGAGCCATTTGTTCTGGTTCGAACTCGGGTACAATACTACTTGCAACCTGAATAATCCATGTCTAGCAAAGGAAAGTGTCTTCACTGAGTGTGAAGGTTTTGTCGGAATCTTCATGTCATCCCATCCATCTGATGTCAATAGCGGACCACAGGGGTGTGCCAGTTCCTCTGCTCAAAATCCCTATCAAAAATTTTGATGGATTTTCCAACATTTGATGAATTTTTATCCCTGGAACTTCCAAGAGAACAAGTGCTTCTAAGTAGCAGGCCAATTCTCACCATTCGAAATGCTCATTTTTTAGGAAGTAAATACTTAAGACTTCCTCAAATGAGTTGCAGGGATCTTACTCCCACTTATCATGACCAATATACAAAATACATTACAACAAGTTAAGTTGGTTTCCAATCAACTAGGTTCAGACTTCAGACTAGTTTAGACTCCCACTATTATCATTTAAAGTTTTAAACTAATAATCAAATTGAACCCCCAAAGTGTAGTCAGATTTCATATGAACAATATTACAAAAGATAAAGGGATTATAGAGTTCTTTTTATGCTTCGCTTTCTATTTCAATAATGAATGGGGATTTTAAAGAATCATCCCTAAAATATTGAGATCCATAATTTAACACTTCCCCCTTCTCTTTTGATAAATTTTGTTGTCTCTTGAAGCACTTGTGTTCATAAATTGTGGGAGAGACGACTTCCTATTTTTTGTTTAGTGAGATATTGATGCTCCAAAACGTTCATATGATATTTTTTATTCCAAAACATCAGCAAGTACTAAATATTGGTGTTTCAAACAAGCAGTACCTTTTTTTTTTTTTTGGCAAATATATGATTTGCTTCTTGACTGGAAATTGTATTGTATAGAGGAGTTAAATGTTTACATGGTCAATGTTTATGCTTTTAAAAGTGCATCTTAAATACTGGTATTTTCGAACACCAATATCTAATTGTAAAAATATCTCATTGTAAATAAATTTTTACATCATAGTTTATACCAAAAAAATAAAAACAAAGAAATAGGAAAGTGGGGCAAAATTACAAATTGCCCCTGGTGGTATTGAAACTCATGCCTTGAGGGCTTTTTAATAGCCTGGCAAAGGAAAAGTTAATGTGTTTGGATGGGTTGGTTGATGGGAAATCTTTTTCCAAGAGAGATAGATTATTGGCTTCATACCTTTCGAGGTTTGAAGCAACATTCTCATGAAACACCGCTGTTTTGTAAAGTGGCGTGAGCCTTCGATTCTCCTAAACCGGGATTTTCCTCAACAAACATGGGAAAGTAGTTATCCCCGTAAAAAATCTCTTATCTTCCCTAATAAATATTTGGGAACACAAATACGGTTTTTAATTATCGATTTCAACATCTACTTAAAACTTAATGCAAAATGGTCCACTATCTTTATCCGTTTCCGATTCACATGTACCATTCTTTTAAAATTGCCGAACCGGATTGAGAATCAATAAATTTGGATGAGGATATGAGGGTAATTGGGTTGATTTCCATCTGATATTAGAAATCTGCTCTAATTTTTTATATCAGGAAGCAGCTTGGAACGAACCAAGAATTTTAGTTCCGGCTCGGTGAAACTGCACCAAGATGTCAAGGGTTCTAATCCCATTCCACTTATCTGCTGTAAGAAAGAAAAACTTATTATTTTTATTATTCTTGAAAAAGTAACGTAATTAACATGGTGGCGGTGATAACCATGTACTATGGCATATCACCATGCAATCAATTGGTTAGACGGTAAAAGAGAGAAAATAAGGATATATAATTCATTGATTAAAAATTTGACAGTGAGGCCCACTTTCCCCAACCGAATCAAACCATTGAGAAGACAGTGATATCGAATCGGAGTTTTTATGACCATAGGAGCCCATTATTTTAACCTGACAAAAAAACTTTTATTATGGTACTAGAATTAATCATTTATTTCTTAATTAATTGCGTTTTCTTTACTTTGAGGAAATAGTAATTAGTGTGGCATTTTATTGAGTCCAACCTAAACAATGTGATTAGGCTGGCTCATGATTCACACCAAGCCAGGAGAAACAACCTCTGTCCCTCACGCATGGAATAAGATATGCAGATATCAACATAGGGGCACATTTCGTTGGTCTGAAAGTATACCAGGAGAAATATTTTGATGGTAAAATCGCCTTACATATGTCTGGTATGGGAAGAAAGCATGTGAAACCAAAACCTACGGTAAAACGTCCACTTTGTATGAAAGCAAAAACACTCCTTTACTCATTGGAAAGCATTTTTCGTCCACTTTGTATGAAAACAAAAACACTCCTTTACTCATTGGAAAGCATTTTTCGGGTTTTATTTTTACACGCACACCCACTATTCACTCTTCACTATTCACATGTGAAATTCACTACACAATGCTTTTTAAACGTGTTAACAAAAATAAAGAAAAGAAAGTTTGGAAAAGTTTTTCCAGCAAAGTATTTACATATGTAAATATTTTTACTGGGAAAATATTACACCCCAACCAAATGTATCCTAGATGAATTACCACCCTTCATTTGTTTAGGAAATAATGGAAAATGATAGTGGTAATTCTACAACTTGAATGTTTTATTTTGATTTATGAATAATAAAAATTGAGCCCATATACTATGCTTCTTCAGGAGTATAGTTCATTTCTACTCCCTCGGTTAGATGACCTACTTGGGAGATTTTTTACAATGAGAAAGTTTAGCAGTGACCATAGAATCACTAGATAATTATTCTAAATTTTTTTTTTCTAATTTGAGTTTTTTAACGCTTAGACTCACCCTCTAAAATGGACAAGTTTTGAAACTAACCAACCCTAGGTCCAGTTTTACTTTATGGAGTGAATGGACAATATACTCCTGAGCCAGTAGAATATCTTTTGGTAAAAAAAAAAAAATTCCAAGTTTTTGCTGGTGAGTCTCTCTCCTAGTTTTCAAGAGTTTTAAGGACCCGTTGGACATCCCAAATCACTTTTATATTCATGTGAAGCCTAAGAATTTAGAGTTCTAGAGAAAAAACAGATTTGATTATCCATGAAAATTTGAAATAAAGGATCCGTTAAAGGGGTACGCGATGGACCTTTGAAGGCTTAAATTCATTTTTTCTATGTCCAGTCCAAATCCATAATGGATTTTGGAAGCGTAGACTCACTGCAATGCATGCTCAGACACACGCAAAGCCATCCATGAAATTTTGGCCATTTCCTTCATATTTTCTATTTGAAGTATGGAAAATATTTTGATAGAGCTGCAGCCCTACGAAAATAAATAAGGTCTCACCTCAAAACTCACCGGGATCAGTACCATTTTTTGAGCTATAAATTTCATAATAGGTGGTCAAATTTGATTTTAGAGATTTCTACGGGGAAAGAAAGCGTTTTCCAAACTAGGTTTCAGGCTTTAGCTCTTTTTTTCGTAATTCCTAGCCCTTATAGTATATAAACCAGTAATTTTCACTATTGTGATTCGTTAAATAGATTTTGACCCATGGGCACGCAAGCGGACTTCAAAACAAATGGTGCAGCTCGCATTGTATCTTGTTATGTCAACACACTTGAATTTCACATCGAGCCACGAGAAAAGAACAAAGAGAGATGAATTTCACTTGAGCCACAAAAATCTAAACAGAGAGAAGAAAAAGAAAAGAAAATATTTACATATAAGTGTACAAGAACTGTACAAGTCAATTCATCTGAGCCACAAAAATCTAAAACAGAGAGAAGAAAAAGAAAAGAATAGAAAAAAAAAAATATTAAGTGTTGTACAATTCATCACTCCATGAAAATCATGCATGTGAAGATTCGCAATGGATACAAGGGGATAGATAGATAGCCTCTCCTCAAGAGTAGCTCCTAGCCAATCAAAACAGGGATTCAGATATTCCCGAAGGTGAAGGAGATCAAGAACGGCCGAGCTGAAGGAGAAGGAGATCAAGAACGGCCGTCTCGCCATGTTCTCGATGTTCGGGTTCTTTGTTCAGGCCATTGTCACTGGAAAGGGTCCATTGGAGAACCTGGCTGACCACCTTGCAGATCCAGTGAACAACAACGCTTGGGCCTATGCCACCAACTTTGTGCCCGGAAAGTGATTCTTCTTTCCTTTCTTGTTTTTGGTGTCGTTTTGTGATAAGGGTTTGTGAGAGCGATGGAGTTGTGTGGGTTGTGTAGTGATGGTCTTGCATTTTTATTTTTTTATTTTTGAACATTCCAATTAATGATGTAAATTTGGAGGATTCTTGAGAGCTTCTAATATTTAACCTAGATTTTGGGTAATAAGATATTTTCGTTTTTTTCATATTTTTCTTAGTCCTTTTTTGGCTGAATTTGTCACAAATTCATTGAAAACTTCACTACAGTTATGTTTAAAAAGACAAATAATTGTGCCTTAAGAACGGATGAATTGAGAGAGCACAGTATTTTGGGTTGAGCCAAAGCATATGGGAAAGTTATTTTCCATGGTATTGATTGGGAAGATTAAAATCGCTCCCATATGAATGTGGGGCACTTTTTTATCTGAAAGGAAAAAAATATCCCACTGGAATATACCATTTCTTGAAGTTTGTCTTTGGTGCATTCGGAAACAAACTTCATTAGTGAAGGAGTTTTTTGCTGGAGCCATTTGTTCTTCTTCGAACTTGGGTTTGATACTTCTTGTACCCGGAATAATCCATATCTAGCACAGGAAAGTGTGTTCACTGAGTGTGAAGGTTTTGTCGGAATCTCTTTCATCGCATCCATCCAATGGCAATACCGGACAGCAGAGGTTTGCCATTTCCTCTGTTTGGAATCTCTATCAAACTTTTTGATCGATTTTCCAACATTTGATGAATTTTTATCTTTGGAACTTCCAAGAAACAAGTGCTTCCATGTAGCAGGCCAATGTTCTCCATTAGAAATGCTCATTTTTTAGGAATTAAATCCTTAGTGAACTATCTGACTTCCTCAAATGAGTTGCAGGGATCTTACTCCTAAGTATCACTACCAAGATAAAAAATACATGACAAGAAGTTAAGCTGGTTTCCAATCAACTAGGTTCGGACTAATTTGGCCTCCCACTATTTTCATTTAAAGTTTTAAAACTAACAATCAAATTGAACCCCTAAAGATAGTCAGATTTCATATGACAGTTATACACAAGATAAAGGAATTACAAAGCTCTTCTTATTCTTTGCTTTCAATTTTAATAATGAATTGGGGTTTTCAAAGAATCATCCCTAAAATATTGAGATCCATAATTTAACACTTTCCTTTTCTTTTATTGAACTTTTAAAACACTTGTGTTCATAAATTGTGGGAGAGACAACTTCCTATTTTTTTACACTGGGGCCATCTTCCTATTTGCCCTCTCCATCACAACAACACGTCAAAACAAGAGTGGTTCCAAGCGGTGATCCCAAACATGAATATTGCGATGCTTGCAAACATTAATATGATATTGTTATTCCAAAGGGAAGGCTTTCTACGTGACCCACCCATATATATAGTAGATGTGATCCCTAGTCTCAGCCATCAGATCTAAGTAGATAACTTAGAGTCACAATGTCACAAATTGATTTTTAATTGCCAGATCTTGATCGGATGGCTCATAGTTTTTTATTTTAAAATTTTCTTCTATAAATCAGTTTAAAGGAAAATCTGGGGCATGCATAGATATGACAGAGGCGCATATGATAAAAATAATAATAAAATCTTTTCGATGATAAAAAATTACCAAAATACCCCTAAAAATTGTAGGGGCATTTTGGTTATCTATTTTTATAGAAAATATTTTTTTTTTATTTTTCCTAGGTTTGCCCTATTTTTATGCTAGGACGCCCAAAATTTCATCTAAAAATATTTGGGTATGAATAATTATAGCCATTCGATTCAGATCGAACTGCTAAAAATTGGGGTAATATACAACATGTATGTTGTTGGGGCCATATAACACCAATAAGTACTAGAAATTGGTGTTTCAAAAGACCAGTACTTTGGGATAATTTAATAGACTTCCCTAATAAATAATTGGGAACACATAATTTTTTATTATCAACCTCAAAATTTGCCTAAACTTAGTTCAAAATAGCCCACTATCTTTGCCTGTACCAATCTTTTAAGGGATTGTATACAATGAGATCATTTATCTTTGATACGAGGAGGATGCAATTACTTATAAGCATCTTTGATATGAGGAGGTTACAATTATTTATAACCATCTGACATAAAATTCGATAGCTTAGGTGTGTCACAAATCTTGAGGAATTTTCTTTTAAAGTTTGAGCTTGGTCAATAAAATAAATACGACCATCCAAATTCACATCCAATAGTCAAAATTAATTTTGACCATCGTGTACCAAAGATAAATGGTCTCATTGTATACTTTCTCATCTTTTAAAATTGCCGACCCACCACCCTGACCACTTAGCCTTGAGTCCATTCATAAAAAGTAAATTAATTCCAAAATCCCTCCGGAATGGATTTTGAAGTGTGGACTCACTACAATAAATGCTTCCTCAGTCTATCCATAAAATTTTGGCCACTTCCTCCATATAATTTCCCCATCAAAATAAGTAAAACCTCACCTCAAAACTCATGAAAAATTGTAGTTCTAGCATTGGAGAACCTTTGAATGTATCATCTCGACCTTGACCATTACAGTTCTGAAAAGAAATTAATTTCAACCCTTTAGTATGTTATAACATATTATCTAGACCATCAGTTTCAAGTATTCATGGATATGCAAGATTTTTACCAATTTACAAGGTATAAATTTCATATCATCGGTAAAAACTGATTTTAGAGCCATCATAGAGATTTATGACTCCAAAATATCCGGACGAGGTTTCAAGGTGAGGCTTTATTTTTATTGTTTTTATGCACTAGCCCTTATAACTTATAAACCACTCAACGGTATTTGTTAACAAGGTTTTGGCCCCTGGCACATAAGCGGAATTCAAAACATATATGGTGCAGCTAGAAACTCGTATTGTATCTTGTTCTGTTCATACGTACTCCACTCACCGCACATCAATTTCACATCAAGCCACGAAAAAAAACAAAGAACAAATAGACTGATGAATTTCACTTGGAGCCACGGAAAACTAAAACAGAAAAAGGAGAAAAGAAAAGAAAAATATGTGTACAAGCCATCACTACATGAAAAATCACATCTGGAGGTAACTGTGGGGTCTGTCGAGGAGATGTGACACCCACTCTACCCCAGTGGCAGCTTCGATCCCTTGGGCCTGGCCGAGGACCCTGAGGCCTTTGCCGAGCTGAAGGTGAAGGAGATCAAGAACGGCCGGCTTGCCATGTTCTCGATGTTCGGGTTCTTTGTTCAGGCCATTGTCACTGGAAAAGGTCCATTGGAGAACCTGACTGACCACATTGCAGACCCAGTGAACAACAATGCTTGGGCCTATCTTTGTTACCGGAAAGTGACTCTTCTTCCATTTCTTGGTGTTGTTTTGTGAAAAGGGTTTGTAAGAGTGATCGAATTGTGGGTTGTGTAGTGATGGTCTTGTATTCTTGTCCCTTTTTTTTTGACATTCCAATGAATCATATAAATTTGAAGGATTCTTGAGAGCTTCTAATGTTTAACATGCATTTTGGTTAGTAAGACATTTTACTTTTTTTTACCATATGTTTCATAGTCTTCTTTTGGCTGAATTTGTCACCAATTCATTGAAAATTTCACTATGATTTATATTTAAAAGGATGAACAACTCTGGCTTAATTACGGATGAATTGAGAGGGCACAGTATTTTGGGTTGAGCCAAAGCACATGGGAAAGTTATTTCTCATGATATTGATCGGGAAAATTAAAACTGCTCCCATATGAACGCGGGGGCACTTTTTAATCTGAACGAAAAAAAAAAAAATGCCCCCATTAGAATACACCATTTCTCATGGTTGTTTTTGGTGCATTCAGAAGCAAAATTTATTTATCAGTGAAGGAAGTTTTTGCTGGAGCCATTTGTTCTTGTTCCAAGTAGGGTATAATACTACTTGTACCCAAAATAATCGATGTCTAGCAAAGGAATATGTGTTCACTGAGTGTGAAGGTTTTTTCGGAATCTCCGTGTCACTGAATCCATCCAATGGCCTTAGCGGACAGCAGAGGTGAGGTGTGCCATTTCCTCTGTTTGATCTATTTTCCAACATTTGATGGATTTTTATCTCTGAAACTTCCAAGAAAACAAGTTCTTCCAAGTAGCAGGCCATTGTTCTCCATTAGATATGGTTATTATTTAGGAATTAAATCCTTAGTTAACTATTTGACTTCCTCATATGAGTTGCAGGGATCCTACACCCACTTATCGTGACCAATATAAAAAATGCATGACAACGGTCCCAATCAACTAGGTTCAGACCAGTTTGGCCTCTCACTATTATCATTTAAAGTCTTAAACCAATAATCAAATTGAACCCTGAAAGTACAGCCAGATTTCATAATGACAGTTTTACAAAAGATAAAGGGATTACAAAGGTCTTCTTATGCTTTGCTTTTTATTTTAAAAAGGAAAATTGTTTCATGCGGGCTCGACTGTATTTCTATAATATGCGTCCAGAGGCATGAAGCATCCATCTTAAAGATGGATGCAAATTGGTGGTCCATCTAACTACATGTGTAACTAACGATCCAATTATTTTCTTGACATATTATTATTTTTAATTTTTAATTTTATTTTATTTTTCATATTCATGATCTCCATGTTAAATATTATATATTTTTTAAAAATTAGGATCAAATTATATCTAAAAAATATATTTATTGCCAAGCTCGCATTTCTACAATATGCAGGCTCGCCACGTAGAAACCTTGTCCTATTAAAAATGAATGGGGGATTTTAAAGAATCATCCCTAAAATATTGAGATCCATGATTTAACACTTTCACCTTTCTTTTGATAAATTTTTTTAAGTCTTCTAAAGCACTTGTGTTCATAAATTGTGCGAAGGACAACTTCCTATTTGGCTTCTTCATCAGAACAACACGTCAAAACAAGAGTGATTCCTGAGAGTTTAGTGAGATATTGGTGCTCCAAAACATTTTCATATGATATTGTTATTCCAAAGCACCAGTAACTGCTACATATTGGTGTTTCAAAAGACTGGTACCTTTTTTTTTTTCTGCTTTGACGAAGGGAAAATTACACGTGTATCCATTAAGTGTTGTTACGATTTTACCTAAAGTTTTATCTTATTATATTTACAATTTTGGATATTACATATATACACGTTCTTAGGAGCCGTGAATATTTTTTCTAAAATTGCCCAATTTTTTAATCTACAAGATCCGAAATAAACAAAAAATAAAACTTCAAGGTCTGAAAATTTCCTTATTTTCAAATATGTGGGATCCGAAATAAAATAAAATAAAAAATCCGATCCTTCAAAGTCCAAAATTTCCCTATTTTCAGAGCTTTAGGACCCAAAATATAAAACATTCGGGCCTTCAATATCCGCAAACTATTTCAGACCTTAATGTTTTGAAATGGTGTATCGACAATTTTGATTGTTGAGTTTTCAAATTTTTTACGAGAGTAAATTGTGGATTTTTTAAAAGAGCGAAGATTGGAAAAAGTTTGCGCTAATGTTTTTTTTTGGAATCTAAAATATTTGTGGAGTGATTTTACACATCTCATTGGTTGAGTTTCATTTGTTACTTTTAAATTTTGGGAAAAAAAATCCGACTCCAAAAGTGTAGATGTTTTATTTTGTAATTTTTGGATTTTGAAAAATCTGAAAATAAAAGAAAAACTGGATATTGAAAATCTGAAAAATTCAATCACAGGTAGTTCATGTAAAAAAAAAAAATTCGGCATTTTGGAAAATCCAAAAAAGGACAATTTGGTATTTTTAAAAAATATTGACAAAACATTGTAGTAACGGATATAAAATGGGTAGACTGGTAATAACAAAACAAATTAGGCGAAATTCAAATAACACATTAAATAATGGATTTATGCGTAATTTTCACTTTGATAAACAAAAAATATATGACTTGCTTAACACTTTTGAGAATGGGTTAGGGTGGTGGTGGTAGCACCATTTGTACCCTAGCTAAGATATAGGTTTCTATTATCATTTAACGCATTCAAAAACCACTAACGATTTAAAAAACAGGTAGGGACTCGTCATCCCCACTGAATTACCTAAAAAAAAACAACAACAACAAATTGTATTCCATAGTGAGTTAAACGTTTACAAGATCAATGCTAATGCACTTAAAAGTGCATCTCAAATACTAGTATTTTCCAACAACTATAAAAAATATATCACGGCAAATAAATTTTTACATCATAGCTTTTACATTCAAAATGCAAAAATCTATAATCAAGGTTGTTCTCTTTGAAATTTTGCTAATATTGAAAATATGAAACAAAAGTTAATTCTTAATTTTGGATTTTCAAATATATGGAAAACTAGAAAAGTCCTTAATTTTGGATTTGAGATTTCGAATACTTGAAACTTAAAAAATAAATTAATTCCAAAAGTACTAGTTATAGATCCTGATGGTCCCAAATTTAAGCAATTAGGTCATTTTAAGATATGTTAAAAAAAAAAGAAAGAATATGAACATAATAACAGAAAAATTTAAATATCATAAATTATAGGGAATATAAAAGTAAATCTCTCTAAAATTTTAAACAATTTTACTCCATATATTTACTTATTTTTTATGTAATATTTCTCCGTATCAACACTTTGTTTCCTTGGACACCACCCTATGTGGCATCCAACTCCTAAATCCCCACACGCAATAGGATTCAATCTCGCCAAGATAGAAGAGGATAGCATATCTGTGTGGAGAGCCCTACGTAGGGCCCCGCACTAGTTGCCAAATCAGCAATCAATCAGCCAATCAAATGCGAGATTAAAATCCTGGGGGATAAACGGAAGCCACTACAAACATATATAAAAAATGTAGAATTACGGTGCACATGAAAAATCCACAATAAAAAGTTATTTTGATATTGAAAAAAGCATCTCAACATTGAGATGTATGAAAGCACTCGTTTTCATAAATTTTGTTAAAAGTGTTTGAAAGCACTTGGTTTCATAAATTGTGGGAGGCACAACTTCCTATTGGGCCTTTTCATATCAAAACAAGAGTGGTTCCTTCCATTGATCAAAAACACCAAGAGTGGTTCCTGAGAGCATCAATTTTGTTTAGCGAGATATTGGTGCTCCAAAACATTTGTATGATATTGTTATTCCAAAACACCTGTAAGTACTAGATATTGGTGTTTCAAAAGACTATTACTTTTTTTTGACAAAGGAAAAATTACACATATATCCATTATTTTAAGTGCTATTACAATTTTACCTTAAAATTTTCACTTATGATATTCGTAATTTTGGATATTTTCATGTATACCCATTCTTAGGAGCTCGAATGTTTTTTTTTTTTTCCAAAATTGCCCTATTTTTGGATCTTTAGGATCCAAAATACATAAAAAATTTGAAACTTCAAGATTTGAGAAAAAAAAATCCGAACCTCCAAGTCCGAAATTTGCCTATTTTTGGATCTTTGAGAACATAAATATAAAACATTTCGGACCTTCAATAGCTGTAAACTATTTCGGACCTTAAAGGTCCAAAATTATGTATAGACAATTTTGAGCATTGAGTTTTCATATTTTTGACGGGAGTAAATTGCAGATTTTTGAAAAGAGAAAACATTAAAAAAAGTTTGTGCTAACCCTTTTTTTTTTATTATTGGCTAAGAATTCAAATTATTATTTTGGGTAATTAATATAAATTATTTGTGGAGTGATTTTACACATTTTATTGGTGGAGTTTCATTTGTCAATTTTTTATTTCGGAAAAAAATTTCAGGCTTCGAAATTGTAGATTTTTTATTTTGTAATTTTTGGATTTTGAAAATCCAAAAAAATCAACCATAGCTCATGCAAAAAAAAATTTTGGATCTTGAAAATCCAAAAAAAGGCAATTTGGTCATCTTTAAGAAATGTTGACAAAATGTTGTAACAATGGATGTAAATCGGCAAAGTAGTAAAAGGGAAAATTTTAGGTGCAACTGTAGTAAGGCTTAAAATAATGGATTTTGGTCCAATTTTCCCATTGTCAAACATAAAATATATGCTTTTGTTCTTTCAAACAACAAATTGTACAGTATAGGGAGTTAAATGTTTACAAGATCAATGCTTATGGTTTTATAAATGCAACTCTAATACTGGTATTTTCGAACAACTGTAAAAATATCTCACTGCAAATATATTTTGGGAAAGGTTTCTATGCTTCTCTTTCAACATAGAACTTCTATCCAACCCCTACCATCCAGCCATCTAATTTTGATCATGAGAGCCACTCACCCTTTGATCTTAGATCCAACGCCTCAAAGTATTTTATTTTTAGTTTTTTTTAATACAAATTATATGAATATAAAATTTGGTACAATATAGAAGTTAAATCCTCCCCCTATCATCCAGCCATCTAATTTTGATCAAGAGAGCCACTCACCGTTTGATCTTAGATCCGACGTCTCAAAGTATTTTATTTTTAGTTTTTTTTTAATACAAACTGTATGAATATGAAATTTGGTATGTGCCATCGTCTCATTGGGGTGCACCTATAAAAAATATTAAAAATAATTTTTTGATAAAATATAATGACCAAAATACCCCTTGAAACTTTCAAGGGTATTTTGATCATTTTATTTTATTGAAAATATGTTTTTTTATATTTTTTTCTAGTGTGAGTTTAATAGAAGAATGGACATCCAAAATTTGGTGTCAAAATAATTTATAGAAAAAAAATTAAAAATAAAGTAGTGTAGAGACATGACATTGTAATTGGGGCAATTTAGCCCTCTATTCAGAACGGACAGTTGGATAAGAGAGAGGATAGAACTTCTATGCTGTAGGGGAAGCATAGAAAGTTTGCTCATATATTTTTACATCTTAGAAAGATCAAGGTTGTTCTTTTTGAAATTTTGCAAATATTGAAAATGTGAAACTAAAATTAATTCTTAATTATGGATTTTCAAATATATGAAAAACTAGAAAAGAACTTAATTTTGGATTTGAAATTTTGAATATTTGAAAGTAAAAAATGAATTATTCCCAAAAGTGATAGTTTTAGATCATGAAGTTCCCAAAATTAGGCAATTTAGTCATTTTTAAAAAGGGTATATATATATATATATATATATATGGAAAAGGCTTCTGTGAGCTAATGGACTCAAAAGAAAAAATAGTCCAACGGCCCAAATTGAATCTGGGCCGATCTAACAATCGCGGATGCCCGATAGTGTTTGAATTTTAATTTTTTTTTCTACAAATCCAAATCACTTAAAATTTTAGATGTGTATTGAATAAAAAAAAAAAAAAAGGTGAATATTTGAAAAATATTAAAAAATATTTTATATGAAAAATGATCAAAATACCCCTATAAATTTCCGAGGATATTTTGATCATTTTTAATTTTTTGAATTATTTTTTTTATATTTTTATTAGGTGTGCCTTGATGAGAAGAACACACGCCTAAAATTTCAAGTGATTTGGATTTGTAAAAAGAAAATTCAAATTTAAAGACTATTGAACATCTGTGAGCATCAAATCGGCCACAGAATGGCCCAAATTCAATCTGGGCCATTCTCGTATGGGCGTATGGGATAATCTAAACTTCACAACCCTTCCAATTATAAAAGTTAAAGATAGAGAGTTGTGAAGGGCGGATTTACTAATTTTGTGGTCTATTTTTTTTAAAAAGTTACTTTTTGTGATATCTTCATCATTAAGTAAGGGCAATTTTGTAAATATTACTGGCAATTTTGTAAATATTACTACTAGACAAGGGTTACTTTTCTCATCTTCATAAAGGGTAACGTTGAAATTTTTACTAAAAGACAAGAGCACTCTACAAATAAAATTCCAAGACAATAACTTTCAAAATGCCGTTGTACTTTTATAAAACTTTCAAATTTGCCCGTGTTTAATGGGTAAGTTACCCATTAAAATAGGTTTTTAAATAAAAAATAATGATCTTTTTGATAAATACGCCCATCATAACCTCTTCTAACTTTAAAAAACTATGTTAGGGCCATTTATTTGATCCAAAATTTCAAATATACACCCTTTTCATTCTAATGAAGAATCACAAAAAAGAAAATTTGAAAATGCAACCTAGAAAGTATTTTTTTAGCCTAATTAACATAGGCTGTCCATTTTGATAAGATGTTTAGATCTATGCCTTAGAAGAATTTTTCTTTTCCAATTTTTTTAGATGGCTTTATTATCATTAGATAAACAATGTTTAAAAGGAAAAAAAATGATTTTGAGTTTGTAGAGGCTAAGATCTTGAAATTCACCAAATGAATGGTCTAGATTTGTTGTTGGAGGGGACTCATTTTGACCATATCTAGGGTTCAAATTGAAATTTTCTTTTTTTTGGGATTGATTATTTAGATGAAGGGAGTGTGCGTGCAAAATTGATTATCTATATATATATATATATATATATATATATAGTAAGGTAACTTAATT